ACTTTTTACTTGTTTGTCTTAGCAAATTATAACATTGTGCACCTCACCATCTGCATACAATTAGCTAGTCATTAAAGTTTTGTGCATTTCCAGATCATTTGCCAGTGTAGATGTGAAAAAAAGCAGTCGGGCAGACTCGGCCCTCATCCAAATGCGGAGGTTGGGGTAGAAAGTGTGTCTTGTGACATTAGAACACGCGCTGTGCTAAAACAGCGATGTGCCAAAGCCATCCTACTCCAGACCTGTAACTCTGAAGGAAACATTCAGCATTTAAACAATGCTTTTTGGCTTTTGTTGCTTATGGGAGACAACAATTATTTTCTGACCTTACTGTTTCAGCTTATTGGGTCAACAAACCAGGCTCCCGAGGTAAACTGTGAACTTCCCCTATCACACCAACATTACAGCATTTCAATAGCGCGTGAACAAAACCAGCCCAGAAAAATAGCAAATTAACAAAATGCCAAGCACATAGGGAAGGTGTTACAAAAACTATCAACTAAGAACAAAAACAGGCACTCTTATGTATGGGCCTTTGAGCATTATCCTACAAAACAAATGCACAATCCAAGCCAGATTAAATTCAAGACATTGTAGCAGGTCATAGAAATTAGTTTTTAATGCGCTAGGTAAAGTTCATAGCATAGCAACCATAATATAGCAAGAAATAAATAACTGCCAAACCAAACCTCCAGAAACTACAGACAATCTTATTTTTTATTTTCCTTCCTGAAGACAAACATACTTATTAAATCTTATCTAAGCAAACTGCTACAGCAGTTCACTTCAATCTGTATTTGCTGAAGAAAGTTGAACTCCTTCAGCTTCGATTGAAAACGCTATCGCTGGAACTCATGAGCGATAACTTGCAGAGAGATAAACTGAATTTTAATACCTCAAATTGCTTAATAAAGTTCTCTGCAGAATTTGGCTATGACCAAGTATAATCTATGTGAACTGTTTGCTTATGGCAATATACATTAATTGGAAAATGGAAATAATACACACTTCCCTCTTTTTTTTTTAAGTATTCAAGTATTTTCAAGATTCTTATAATAAGTAAACTTGCCTTCTCAAATCTGTGCACTCATCTCAGCAAAATTCTTAAAAAAATGTAATAGAATTGGTATGCTTCGCATTTATATTCACAATTGCTTAAAAATAATCCTTCCTTTGCCTGTGGGCACTTATCATTAATACAATAAAACTGTGGGAGCATTAGAATAATCATTTCACCAGGAAACAGGCCATTCAGAGCTCTGCAGGTACTCTTCTCTATCCTTCATCATGCCGGGAAACAGTTTTAATTCTCTTAAAATAAATCCATTATCTTGCAGATGTGAGATGGGAAATCCTGCATAGTAAGATAGGGAATTCCAAGTAATTCAGGCTAGGACAGAAAGACAAGTCCCACAGTCCCTGCTCCCTCTAGTATTTTGCTGACTCAGATAAAATAATCTCCAAATATGCAAAGTTTTACAGGCCAGAGGAGGTACCTGAAATGTATCCGGTACCTTAAATATACTCAGTCAGCAGAGCTTATATCTGATGGCTGCCAAGCACGACGCTTAATAAAACACAAAAACACGTTTCCTGACAGAGCTCCATTTTAGCCTGCACTTCTCCTAAGTGCCCTCTACAACACTTTTTTTTAAACAAGCAAGAATAATTTTAATAATTAAATTTTAATATTTTTAAAAGTTTTTCCAGTTTCGAGGTCGCACATTTTTCCTGCTAATAGTTCAAAGTCAAATAAACGAGTTCAGCCAAGCACATGAACACTTCCTGCTCTGTAAGAGCAGTTATCTAGCCCGTACCACACTGCCTAGCCTCGCTGCACCCTTTGTAATCACTCTGATTTTTTTTTCCCATACAATTATTCACATCTCATTCCAGAATTCATCCTGAAGCTGATTAACAGATTTTTGTTTGTTCTGTGTTTAAGGGTAGATGGTTTGTGGCTGGCACTGGGAAAATGCACCAAAAAAAGGGTTGATTTTTTGCTCCTGTCTTTGCATCTTCTGGCGGAGAGCCAGCAGAAAAAAAAAAAGGAGGGAAAAAAAAAAGAAGTATTTAAATTAGGAAGCAGAGTATCTTGCGGGATTAGCACAAAGTGAAATGTTTCTCAGAAAGCAGAGAAATGACAGCAAATACTATACACTTGAGGCAGAAAATTTTACCATGTGCCATTCCAGGGATGGTTTATGCGTGTTTCCTTAGCACACGACTCATCTGAGAGCTTATTCCTATCTTGCTCATCCCTCTTTCAGTAATAGCAGCTCTTCCATTGGGTATGTTATTGCTAATATTAGGATAACACCTCAAGTGATGTCAAGGCTATATGATGCAAATATATGCATCCTATACAGATACAGCGTACAATACAGAAAAATCTGGCATGAATCATTGGGTGCATTCTGATTCTCTTGGCCTTGAGGCAATTTTACATAATTGATGCTCATGTGAAATATTTTCTAGAGTTTTCACAAAATTTTCTTGCATTAATTTATATTTTCAGAAGCTTAAAGAAAAAGTGGGGAAGAAAATTTTCTAAGTAACCTCAAGGGTGTAGATTTAGAAAGCAAGATGCCAAGGCCCTCAGATCTTGACTTAGAAGGTATATCCTGCAGGCTAAAGCTTATCTCAGAACAGTTTAGGGGACAAGGGGGAGCAAAAGTGTATCAATGAGGAAAAAAAATATTGTGATGCTCATGGCTATTAACCAAATGTCTGCTTCTGGCATTTAAAATCTAAATCGTGATGGACCCACTATATTAAGCTGACACTATCAGACCATCAGTTTGCCATTAGTATTCACCCAGAAACCCGAAGTAGAACTTTCTGGGTAAAAATAATTTTCATAAATACCTCTAATCTTCAGCTGAACACATTAAACGATGGAAAATCTTTGGCTTCTCCTGAGAATGTGCCCTGGTGGTTAAACATGTAAAAAATGCATGTCTTCTTTCCTCTTTGAATTTGACTGGCTTTTGCCTCCAGCTATTGCTTATTATGCCTTTCTTCACTAGATTAAAGAGCCCTTTAATATCCAGTATTTTCCCCCAGGAATGTTCTTACAATCAAGTCACCTCTCAATCCTCCTTCAGACAACTTCAACAGCTTGAGCTATTAAAATCTCCCAGCGCGATGCCTTTTCTCCAGGCCTCGGAACATTTTGCTTCACTTCTTTTTGCCTTTATTTCCCAATATCCTTCTTAAAAAAACAAAATGTAGAACTGTATGCACTATCCTAGTGCGGGCCTCAACAATGATATACACAAAAATAAAATCAACCTTTTATTTATTTATACATTAATTAATAATTTTCTGTCACAGCTTCACTCAGGAGAACCCCTATCAAACTGCCTATTCCTTCTGACCCTTAAATCCTTTTCAGTCATTTCCTTCCCAGGGTGTATGTATATATCTATATATTCTTTAGTTATAGCTTGTACACTTGGTTCTTAGGAAGACAACTTTGTATTTCCCTGGATTAAAACTGGAATGGGATGCTTTTACAGAGCACCCTCATCAGTGACTTGTCCTCATGATTATCTTGGATTTCAGTAATCTTGGGGCTTACATTTCAGATTGCTGCTAAAAAGCACAGTATGACATAGGGCCGACTACTGGGAGTTCCTTCGGCATCAATGTGTTCAACCAAGTTACCCTGCAGACTTGGTCTTCCTGAGGTCCGACTGCAAGTCCCATTTGTGCAGTTATTGGCAGCATCTACATTTAATGTTACTGACAATATCAAGCATGTGTCTCCTCAAAATGGTGTAACCAAGATAACTGAGCAATGGCTGTTTTTACCGTAACACTGTGTAGATGTGTATGATAGCCTTTTATTCCAACCTTTTATTATTGAATTTCCACATCAAGTTTTCTGTCGTAATGGTTTAGATAGCTACTAAGCTATGCAGCTATGGGCTGTGTTTACCCTTTCCAAAAATGCCACAAACACACAACACTTTTACCATCTTCTTAAGCTCCCAAATACAAACCATTACCTCTCAGTGCACCTATTTCACTATTGGGAAACCACAGAACAAGTGTCAGTTTGCCAGACTGAAGCACCCGAAGGCACTGGGCACTGCAGCTATGACTCGCTTCTCCCCTCATTTTCTGAACTAAGACCCTACAACGGCGAGGCGGGGACTCCTCACACATCTTTTAACACATCCGACACCGAGACCTCTGCTCACGAGCGGGTTTAACCCGCCCGTGGCCGCCTGATAGAGGCAGGGGCCACCCGGCGAGCGCAGGGAAATGGCCGCTCCCCACACGCGGGGTGGGAAGCGTCCCCCGTAGGGGGCGCCTTTCGCGCTGGGGCCTCGGGGCGCCGACGTCGGCTTCGGCAGCGGCTGAGGCACGGGAGCAGACGGGAAGGACACCCG